TGCCCAATCCGTCTCCCCAGATCTGGCCGACACTTTCACACCAACCCCTCCAACGGCGTTGCACTCCCCCTGGGATGCAGACCCCTCTCCAGCCTGCCCCCCACCATGCCACGCCAATGCCGGCAGCTGCCACATGGATCTGTACACGTCCGTGCTCTCGTGCAGATCCCAAAGCACCCGATTGCCCAGCTGCCCCTTGTAAGTGCGTGCCCCATCCGTGCTAGTGCTCACCCCAGCCTTTCCAAGCTTACGGAGGGAGATGAGGTTGGCCTTGAGTTCAGGAACGAGGAGAACGTCGTGCAGCACCACCGGCTTGCCATCCGCTCCCTTAAACGCAGCTCGTCCCGCACCAGCCACCTTCAGCGCGTGTCCAGAGGCGGAGCACACCTCGTTGATCGGTGCAGCGCGTACGTGGTCCAGCAGGTCCTTGCGCGGCGTCATCGTCCAAGCAGCGCCCGTGTCTAACACCCAATAGTCCAGAGGGTGCATCTCTGCTCCAACCTTGGCAGATGCGTCTCCTTGCTTCCCCTGCTCTCCAATATGGAAGAACTGGCCCGCGGTGTGCTCCATCTTCTTTTCCGCACCGCCGTTGCTCTTCGGGTTGTTGTCGGACGAATCGGCGACCATGCTCGCGCCGTTTTTCTGGTTCCTCCGCGCGCCGCCATCCTGGTGACGATTCTGGGGGGTCCATCCATCGGGTTTCTTATAGCACAAAAACCAGGGGTGCCCCTCCTTCTCACAATACCAGCAACTCCCTTTCATTTTGCCACCAGCACCCGACTTGCCCCCACGTCCAGATTTCGCACCGCGACCCCAACCGGTACCTCCTTGTTGGTCGTTGGAGTCGTCGTCCTTCTTTGCACCGCGTCCAGCACCACCAAAGCCACGTCCTCTGCCACGTCGGCTCCCTTGCATCACATAGCCGCTGCTGCCGTCGTCTCCACCCCTCAGTTGGCGGCGACGGAAGTCCTCCAGAATCTTTGTCCGCACCCACTCGAGTGTCCACGAGCTCTGGTTCTGCGGCAGGCTCAATCCGCTCGTGAATTGAAGCCACGATCCCGGCAGCAGCGAGAGCATCTTCAAACACTTGGTCTGCTCCGGGTAGGTGATTCCCGCGGTCGCCAACTTCGCGTACAAGTCGCGCATCTTGTCCAGGACAGGTTGCACCGGCTCTCCCTCGCTCAGGCGCAACGCGGACAGCTCCCTCTCCAGCATCAACGTTGCAACAACAGAGGTCGGGGCGTGCAGCTCCTTTAATACGGTCCACGCCTTCGGACCGCACTCAACCTCAGGCAGTAGGTGGATGATGTGGTGACGCTGGTTCAGCTCCAAACTCTGCGACATCAAATAGTTGCCAGCCGAGGAGCGCTCGTCCCAATCTTCCTGCAGCGTGGGGTCACTCGGTCTAGGCTCCTCCCTAATCATTAGTTTCAGCAATCCAATCTGACGGAAATATAGTTGCATTTTTCAGGCCCAATCATCATAGCCCTCACCATTGAACTTCTCGACGGTGTAGTTCTTCAGCACCTCCTTGACCAGCGAGCCCTGGTTTGTTCGCGCTCCCCTTGGCGCTGAAACACCAGAATCTTGGCTGCCGCTACGATCTTGGGCTGAAGATTCACCAGCTCCCGTCGAGGTGTTGCCCGCCATAGCTACCTATATCGAGGATCACTATAACGCAGCTCTGATACCAACTTGTTGGTGTATGGGCCTAATAAACTCGAGTTATTAAGACTTTATCAAACTTAAAATCTCTCCTCGGGGTCACCTCCAAGGGTCCTTGGGTGCCTGGTACAAGACCAGCCCCTATCCTCGGGTCCGAGTTTGTAGAGAGAGGGATCAAGAGGGACTTAGTCAAAACAGCAAGAGTACCTTGAACATCGCGCAGCGTATCGTGCAGACCGTCGATCGGATTAAGCTGAGAATTTCCTATATCGAAGCTCGCTCCAAAAGCTTTAAAATTAACCAAGTTGCCTTGCGAAAAGTTCTGCCATTACGGAGTTATGGCTCGGAAAGCGTTTGCCTAGTGTTGAAGTGCTAGCGTACTAGCGTTGACTCGGGTAGAATTCCGCCGTCGCACCGCGTAGAAACGAAATTCCAGGAAGGAAGGAATCCGCTTGAATCAATTTCACTATATTCAGGTACAAACAGAGAAGGAATAAATAGCTCTAGCTAGGAAGGACCTTGGGAATCAACCTGGGAACAACCAGGGATGATCCCAAATAATTCCAAGCAACAGAACCAACCTGGCTGGACAAAACAGCAGGTGGTAGGTTAGTAAACAACCTCTGGTTCTGTTTTTCCAACCTGGGAAAACAACAACCAGGTTCAGATCCTAAAAACAGAACCTGTTTTATCTTTGCCCAACCAGCCAAATGCTGGTTCCACTGGTTTCCCCTGGCCCTGTAGCGTGCAGATACAGACAAACAACATCCAACCTTCACCTAAATTGTAACTCTATAGTGCCTGCCCTGCTACACTATAGTCAACCAAACAAAACAGTACAATTTCGAGTTGGATAGAACTGAATCTGCGCAATCAAGTAAGTTGAACCACAAAGCTTCCATCTTGGGTTCCTTTGCGAGCTCGTCCTTTCTGCTTGTACTGTTCATAGCGCGTACAATGTTGTGCCGAAGCGCACATTGCGCGAGTACCTGCAAATACATCAAACAAAAATTGCAAAAGAATACAAACACACGAACATTCCATCCATACCCAAATGCATTCGCACACGCATACTCGTACAAACAGACGGCATGATGTCTCGCCATGTGAATTTGCACCCAACACTACTTGCTCGAACGTGCCTGACATGCATGTTTGCTCATTCCATTTCGTACCCCCATATACAAAAGACATAATCCCACCCTGATCTCACTCTTTCATTCTCATCCCAGTCTTCTATCCTCATGATCCCATTCCATTGATCCCATTCTCACACATATGATCAAGTTCCTAACCCTTCATTAATGTCCCAATCAACTTTCTATTCCCATGGTTTCATCCCACGTTCAATAGTCTTTTTATTGTCGTTCACTGCTGCTTGTCATTTTCCCATTGTTGTTATTATTTTCCACAAAGTCTTGTTATGCTATCGTAAGATTTAGCAGTCAATTACATGTTGCCATTTTTATGTCCAGTCAACTTCTCTGCCCTGCCCATTTCCTATGTTTATTCTCAAGTCAACTTTCCCATTGCCTTCTTTCTTTCCCATGGTCACTCCCACAGCCTTGCAGCCATGCCGCAATGCCTTTCCCCTCCGCATGCCTCACCGTGCCTCACCTATGCTCTCACTCTTCACCGCACCATGGCACCTCTTTTTTCTTTGTGAATCTGCACTCGTTTGCTTCGCTCTTATCTTCAAACTGTGATGCAACTTTGTAGGAATTTAGAGAGCTGTTCTTATTGTTTGCCATTCCTTCACAGACCCCTTCATACTTGTAGTCTTCCCTATGCATGTTCTTATTGTATCACATTGCCAGCATCCCAATCTCATCCACTCATTATCATGATTCTGTCTCGTTTTTGTTGTCAGCATCCCAGGGTGATGTTCCCACTGCCATGTTCCCACTGCCATGCTCCCACTGCCATGCCCCCATGATTATTTCTCTATAACCATCTCCCCATTGTCATCAGTCCATTTTCGTCTCCCTAAACTTCATGTCATCTTTCCCTTGCGTCTTCCAACCGTCGCCTCCTGCATTGTCAATCTTTCAATGTCACCGTTCGCTCAGAATTTTCCTAGCCTCAACATTATTTTGTCATATTTTCGCAGTCACTTCCTTAAACCGTATTGCAGCAGCAGCAGTAGCAGCAGCAGCAGCAGCAGCAGCAGCAGCAGCAGCAGCAGCAGCAGCAGCAGCATGTCACTTCATCCCTCTCCATGCCACACAGCCTCACCCACCCAGCACTACATGGGGGCATCACAAGCATCTTTGTACTTTGGCCATGCCTTCCAAGCCCATGTCTTGAACTGGAAGACTTCAAGTCATGCTGCCAGCCACTCAGCATCACGTGCCCACATCCTCTTTCACACAACGGTTAATGACCTCTTTGTGACTTGCATGCGTGATTTCCGTATTATTGAGCATGGCTTGTAGAGCCTTGGGTTTGTGTGACCTAAAATGCATGACGTGAGTCATGGCTTTACCTCTGCAACAACTACATCCTTGTATGGAGTTGTCTTGTACAACCAAAACAAGGCTTTTACCTACGAGCATGGCCAAGTTAAGGTCACGTCTTTCAAGCAATTTGCACATGTATTTGTCTGGTGATGTCGTTACAGGTTTTTTAGTGAGTGCACAGCAATTATGTTATAACATTCTCATGCAATAAAAGTCCTACGTTATTTGGTTCAGCCACCGTACTGCACCGCACCCCAACCCCGAGCGCGTGCCTCCTCGGCAATTTAGCTGCAGCTGCTGTCCGTCTTCCCTCCGCCCGTATACAGCCCGTACCGCCATCAGCAGTCAATGCATTGACGATCAACCCGACAGAACCAGCGATTCTCACGCCTCCCGCCGATCAGCTTGCAGTTAGCTGGAATTTCGCGGCTTAGCGATTTACCGGCTCGGCGCGGCTCATCGTTTTAACTGCTTGGCGGGGCTCAGTGCGGAGTAGCAGCGGAGCGGGAAATGGAGAGCGCGATGCGGACAACGCGGAGAGCGCGATGCGGACAACGCGGAGAGCGCAGCAGAGTGGCAGCAGCGACACGCCCACACGGAGAATCAGGCTTGCGCGGTTTCGGGAGAAGGAAGACTGAGATGTGCCCCGCAAGCGTGTTGGTGTGAAGCGTCGCTTGCACGCGCGGGGTGTTTCGACACGTCCAGCGTACCTCGTGGTAACCCGCACGATAGGATGCGCGCTCGCGCTTAGACGCGCTTCCCCTTTCCAAGCACCTCTCCGCATGCCATGTGCGAACCCCAACGAATCCGATGACTCGTCCCCGTCCGTCTCTTGCCTTGTGCGCACCAATCCCCCCCCCCCTTTCTCCTCACTAGTATCCGCATGGGGATCTGGGCGGGGGGATCGCGGAGGCGAGGATGGAGAGCATCGCGCACATTCCCGACCGTCTCGTCGCGCACTCGCACCGCCCACTCTTCTTGGTTATCCGCACCCCCTTCGCGCTGTCTTGCCTTGTCCGCAACCCCCCCGCGCTCTCCGCGTGACACACGGCTGCTTTCGGTTCGTTCTCTCGTCTGTTGCGCGTGCCGCCCCATCCCCGCCTCCGCCTGACGTCGCGAGCAGCGCGGGTTTGCGCGAGCGCGGGGACTCGGCGGGTGGAGGCAGAAGGTGGTTGAAGCAGGGCGGGGAGCGCGGAGGGGCCGGTGGGAACGTGCGACTACGGCGGGGCGGCGAGCGCGGAAGAGTGGTGTTGAAGCGCGGATGTACGGTGGCGGCGCGGCGTGGCATCCCGTTACAAGCGGCCTCGATTGACCACGTGGTGACGCTCCCCAGGCACGTGGGAAGGGAAGCGGGGATGGGCACAAAGGGGGATGAGCAGCGGAGAGGGTGCCGACAGTCGTGCTGTGCTGGCACCCGTGGCAGCACAGTCAGCACAGGCGGCAAAAGGCGCTGCTGCTGCAATCTCCGCGCATCCCTGTGTCCCTCACCCCCCCTTCACTCAGCCATGCTCTCGTATTGCCATCCCCCCATTGCCATCCCCCCATTGCCATCCCCCCATTGCCATCCCCCCATTGCCATCCCCCCATTGCCGTTCCCCTATTGCCATCCCCCCATTGCCATCTCCCCATTGCCGTTCCCCCATTGCCATCCCCCCATTGCCATCCCCCCATTGCCATTCCCCCATTGCCATCCCCCCATTGCAATCCCCCCATTGCCATCCCCCCATTGCCATCCCCCCATTGCCATCCCCCCATTGCCATCCCCCCATTGCCACCCCCCCATTGCCATCTGCTCATAGCCGAATCCTTCCTCTGTCATTTCCTCCTCCTGCCATTCTCTGCTCCCTCATGCATGCATGGGACGGACATGCTCACCCATGCATCTTTTTTTTTTTTTTTTTTGGTGGATATAAGTACACTACACGTATACATACATCCGCAGTCGTAACTCATGCTAGGAGGGCATGAAAAGGTCACAAGTAACCAAACCTCCCTTGTCCTTTTACGGAGGCTGGAAAGCTACACGACCATCTTCCCAGATCGCCTTGAAACCTGCTCTCCACGTCATCGATGCCTCTGTCTCGTAAAGTCTGCGCATGGCGCTTGCCTCGTCAGCATTCAAGTGGCCCCAGTCGCCCGCCTGTTTTGAACCACTCCTGCCAGCCATCCTCTTCCGCACCCTAATGTAGATCTTCACGTGTCGTGTGAAGCCAACTGCTATACGCCTCAGTGCCCTTTTTGGCTGGAAATGGCTGCCACGGAAGACCGCATTGCACCTCTCCAACCACACTTGGTGCGCTGTAATGGAAATTATTGCAGCCTCCGGAAAACTGGTCATTGTGCCATTCCTTTGCATGTCCCCGAGAGACCTCATGTCTCTGCCCGGGTTCATGCACTGCACCGCTCTTCTCATGACCTCCACCGCTGGCTGAATCACCGGGCAGCTGAAAAGGCAGTGGTCCTGCGATTCCACTCCACCACAGTGCGTGCATTTCGCTCTTGGGCCCAAGAAGGGGAGCCGCTCTCCCACTTGGAGGTTGTTACTGTGCACCCTCAGTACCACTTCCCGTGCCCTGCATGCGGTTGCCAGCGAGTCACGGACCGTGATGGCCTTCCCCCAGTCGATCTTTCTCCCCAGCTCCTCTTCCCACTTCAGCTGCTGCTTCGGTTGCGCCGCTGAGGGTTTCATCGCTTTCCTCAGCTGCTTTAAATCTGCTCGCTCGCCTTTCTCGCAGATTGTTGAATAGAGCAGGCGTGTTCTTGGGGCGCCCAGTAGGCCACGAACTCTCCCGTCTATGACGGCTCACCCATGCATCTGTTTATCATCCCACCATCCATCTCGTCCCCTGGCCTTTCCATTGCATGCCTTTCGATTGCGAGTCTGCCACTGCATGCCTTCCATGCATACGTGCCACCATGGGGGAGCCACTTCCACACCCTCTCAGCCATGCAGCCTGCCGTCTCCCATCCCTGGCCCTTCCACTCACCTCGCCCATTCCTTAGCATAACCCTCCATGCTCTGCTCTCCGTGCCTTCCTATGCCATATTCTCACTGTTCTGAGCGGAGCAAGCATGCCCTCCCACCCTCTCATGCTCCCATTCTCCACCTTCCCAACCCTCCACTCTCCCACGCTCTCACCCTCCCAGCCTCCCAGCCTGCCAACCTCCTACCACTGACCACGCCTCCAGCTCGTGGTTCTGCCAGCACGCACCGCCTAGCTCCCCTCTGCTCGTACCATCTGTGCCTTCCAAGCGCCGTGCGGCCCGGCTACTCGTCTCTCCCTCTCTCCTGCGTCTTCCTTCCTCATCGCTATAGACTGCACTGCACGCATGCATGGCACCCAAAGAGTGGACGGGATTGCTTGCCCGCGCTGCTTGCCGTGGACATGGCTCGATTCAATGCCCGCCTGCCAGTCGGTGACTCTCACGCACTTATCAACAAGCAATCACACACATCCCATCTTTTCACTTTCCTCTTCGCGTTTCCCTCACCAGCTTGCCATCTTTCCCCTTTCCCCATTCGCTCCCCCGTTTCCCATTCCTGCTTCCCGCTTCGCTTTCTGCCTCCCCCGTTTCCCCTTCCTTTTCCCCTCCCCATCCCTCCTCCCCCTTTCTACCTTTCCTCCTTTTTCCTTTTCCTGTCCTCCTCCCACTTCCCCCTGCCCCTTTCCCCATCCCCTTTCCTCTCCGATTGTTCTTCCCCTTCCCCTTGAAGCCTATACTCGCTCGCCTGCAGGAGTCCGGCACGCAGCTCGCCCTAGGCCTCACGTGCGACTCGCCACCCTGCACTGTGAGTCTGTGAGTGAGGGGAGGAGGGTGGGGGGACCAGGGAGGGAGGCGGGGATGACAGGGGAGGGTGGCGGGGGGCTGTGCCATGTCAATCACATGAGGCTGCACGAGAGGGCGGGGAATGGGAGATTGAGGAATGGTGGGAGGGACGAATGGGGGATGTATGGGTGGTGCATCGAGGTGGGCCGTCCCTACAGGTGTAGGGACTCTGTCAGCCGGCGGAGCAGCTCGTGATTTGGTATCGCCGTGCATGTGCGCGCCAGCACAGGAGGATTTCTAGAATTGTCTCAAGTGCCTAATGATTCGGCTGTCCAAGACTGCACTCGGCAGTGATTCATTCCAGCCATTTCTCTCCGTTCACCTTTCCATTTTTCTCAGTTCACCTTGCCATTTTTCCTCTCGCTGCCACCATGGAATTGGGTCAGCAGATAGTAACACGGGGGTGGCATGTGACGTCAGCAGAGGGTGACACGGGGGTGGCGTGTGACGTCAGCAGAGGGTGACACGGGGATGGCGTGTGACGTCAGCAGAGGGTGACACGGGGGTGGCGTGTGACGTCAGCAGAGGGTGACACGGGGGTGGCGTGTGACGTCAGCAGAGGGTGACACGGGGGTGGCGTGTGGCGCTGGTTCAGATGTGTTCTGACACCTGAGGTGAGCACGCTGTGTTGTCGGTGTGTGTGCGTGCTCACTCATTGTGCTGCAGCATGTGCTGGCAAAGGCTGTGTGCTCTATGAGTGCAGCGTGTGTTCTGACGTGTACCTTGGGAGATGGTGCTTCACAGTAATTACCATCTCTCACCTTCCATCGCCCATCGCTCATTTCCCATCGCCCATTTCCCATTGCTCATCTCCAATCTCCCAACCGCATCGCTCATCGCGCATCGGCCATCGCGCATCGCCCATCGCCCATCTCTCAACCCCTATATCCTGTTCATGTGCTCAGGGAGTGGTGGCCAAGGATGTGTTCACGGTGTCGTACTGTATCATGGGGCCCACTGGATGATGACACGAGCACGGTGAGATGAACAACCATGGTTAGATGAAACGGGCACGGTGAGATGAACAACCATGGTTAGATGAAACGGGCACGGTGAGATGGAACAACCATGGTTAGATGAAACGGGCACGGTGAGATGAACAACCATGGTTAGATGAAACGGGCATGGTGAGATGGAACAACCATGGTTAGATGAAACGGGCACGGTGAGATGGAACAACCATGGTTAGATGAAACGGGCATGGTGAGATGAACAACTATGGTTACATGAAACGGGCACGGTGAGATGGAACAACCATGGTTAGATGAAACGGGCACGGTGAGATGGAACAAGCATGGTGAGATGAAACGGGCATGGTGAGATGAAACGGGCACGTTGAGATGAAACAGGCACTTCCCCCTCCTCGTTAACCCTTCTGACCACCCATGTCATATCCCTTATCAGTCCGTTGCTCTCATTATCATTCCGTTACCCATGCTTTGTTTTCTTCGCTCCTCATGCTCACGCTCCCTCACTCCCTCCCATGCAGCTCCCAGCTCACGCTAAACGCGCTCAACTACAAGAGAGCTTTTAGTGTCCTGAGGCACCTTGTAACAAGGCAGAGAGCTTCCAGTGTCTGGAGACACCTTATAGTGAGGTCGAGGGCTAATAGTGTTTTGAGGTACTTTAGAACAAGGCAGAGAGCTACAAGGTGCCAGGAGCACTGGATGTTTCTGATGATATTCTCTGATTTGAGACTGGATATACCCCAGCTTAGCTTGTCTTCCTCACAGCTGTGTAGTCTGTTGTGTATCCATTCATATTTCCTCTCGTCTCTATTGTTGACTAAAACCATTCAGACAAGTACCTACGGTAATTTCCACCCTCTCTTACTCGGCAGGCCAAGAACGGTGCAGTAAAATAGGATGATCAAATTTCCAGTCACAAAAGCATTTCTATGGGTACCTTTCAGTCAAAGCCCTCAAAATGAATCCCACATCCACCCTTGCAAAACTGTAGTATGGTAAGTGTTGTGCGTATGTCTGAATGCAGCAGTTCTACACATATCCCCAACCCCAAACAACCTAATCGAGCAGATCTCATGTGGTAACAACCTAGCTGCTGGATCGACCTGTATTAGCCATGGTAGGACGTGAGTCCAAGCCTCATGTAAAGATCGGAAGGCAACGGGTCTGGGCCAAGCATCCTGCAGCCGCGGAGATTCAGCACTCGCAGCAGCGTCAAGTCACACAGCTGTTGCGGCAGCGACTGAAGCAGCTCACAGTCGTTCAGGTCCAGCTCTCTGAGTCGTGCCAAATGGTGCAAGTTGGGAGGGGAGGACGTGAAGAGCCGTCTTGCTAACATCCAATCTGTGCAGGTAAGTGAGGCTGGTGAAAGAACCAGGCAGGCTTGTCAGGGAGGAGCAATTACGCAGGCTAAGATCGGCCAATCTCGATAAGGAGGAAATGGTCTCCGGAAGATGGGTCAGGCTTGGAGCTTGAAGAGATGTGAGTTGCACCAGCCGGGTCACACTCTCTGGAATCTCCGTCAGAGATTCCGCTCCTTCCACGTGCAGCTGCCGCAGCTGAGGCAGAGCAAAGCCGATGTCATGCGGCAGGTGTTGCAGGGACACTGCATTTGAGAGGCGTAGATCACGGAGGCATGAAAGGAACCCGAGCAGGAGTGGAGGCTCTGTTTGTTTAGTACCCAGGCGCAACTCCAGGTGCTGTATCTGAGAGAGGCAACGGCTGGTTGTTGGTGCGCTCCTGATAGTAACCCGAATCAAATTCAGCTTCTTGAGATTTGGAGTCGTTGACAAGTCTGGAAGAATGATGCTTCTGGTGTCGTTTCCCAAGCTCAAGGTTTCTACAGACCGCTGCAGTGATTCCAAAGTCTTCTTCAAACGAACACAACCCGTCAAATCCAGCTCCCGCAGGCATGAGAGGTTTTCCATGGCTCGAGGTACAGGTGCGAGCTTGATACACATGGGGGCCTTGAAAGTCTTCAGGCGGATCAGTTGAGTGATGGATGGTGGCAGTGCTGTCAGCTTACTGCAGCAGCTCAAGGTCAGCTCCCGCAGGTCACCAAGACGGCCTGTACCCTCCGGCAGCTGCTTCAGTTGTTCACACCAGCTCAGCACCAAAGTGCGGAGATTGGTTAGCTCGCCTATCCCCTCCGGAATTGACTTCAGCCTTGATCGGTGATGCTCAACGATTCAAGAGCACCCAAGCAGGAAATCGATGCAGGGAGGGTGACAATGCCCACACGGTCCAAGGATAGCTTCTGAAGCCCTGTGAGTAACCCAATAGAATCAGGGAGTCTCCTCAGCGACACGCTTCTCGACGTTAAGGACTTCAGCGCAAAAAAATCTCGCAAATTTTGGGGCAGTCTGGATACGCTGTTGTTGAAAATAGTCAGAATCTCCAATGCGCTGAGGCTCGTGAGGGAGTCTGATACAGTAGCTCAGAGAATAAAGGTTCACTGTAAATGCAGAGCTCGCGAAGTACCGGGAACCGCTCTCCAAGCTTGTCAAGCGGGATGCTCATAACATTGCTTAGCAGCAGACGTTGAAGACGGAAACACGGCGATTCTGGCGAAAACATTAAGAAGTCCGTTAGTCCCCGCACGAATCCCAGTGAACGAAGACCTGTCAGTTGTCCAAATGAGAAATTCCCCTCGAAACTGTGAAATTATGCCTCTCCTGGGAAGAACAGGCTGGTTAGATTCGACAGGCGAGTTAACGACGACATCTGATTTAACCGCTTGCCCAGATTATGAATAGAAAGCTTCGTGGCAGAAGATAGATTTGCGACGTTGGGATCCTCCAAAGGCGACATATCGCCCAGTGGCAGCGTGTGCAGGCGCGTCAAATGGAAGAACGAAGGCGGAGCTTTGTGGTCCAATGGAGGCACTGGAGTGACAGCTGCTCCAAGTGGCAACAATGGGGGAAGAGACTCTCAAGCCAAGCTGTCGTGACGGGGTGACCTGAATCGTCCTCCTCGTCACGGTCAAGGTTGTTGTATGGAGCAATGCCTGTGCCGACATAAAGAGCCGTTAGGTTTGGTGACGACGAGCCGAGAAATGTCAGGAGGTGTCGAAAAAATGCGGGTCAGGCTCTGAATCTTCGTTTTCCTCGCTTGTAGCGTAATCCGAGAGAGACATTGACGAGGTCGGCCGGAAAGCGTCGGAATGCCAGAAGATCCTAACCAGAATAAGGTCAGGAAGACAATGGATCTTAGTAGACATTCTCATTTTCAAAAAATGAAGCTAAAGCTGTGGCTTCTACGACGTCTGTTTGACAAGCACGACTTGTCAGAATACTAGGCAGAAAGATAGAACACGAAAAGAGGGGTTTGGACTAGCAGCAGCAGGATACATATAGGAAACCCTGAATTGGGCTGTACTCGCTATAGAGTACCCCACTGCAGGCTAGAGAAATACAACATTCTGACACACCCCCATAGCCAAAGTGGGGTGTAATCAGCACAACAAGCAGGTAGAGAAATAGTTCACAATGATAAGCAAAGCTAGAGGCTATCACAGAGGGCAAGTGAGGAGGAGGAGAGACTGTGGGGGCGAGAAGATGGGAGGCGATGGCTGAAGCTGCAGACACATGGGCAACAGGAGCGGCACGCACTGTGGCTACCGGCGGCAGAGCCCCGGACTGCAGGAGTAACAGGCTCCGCGGCTAAGACGAGCGGCCGGAGCAACGGACCCACGGGCGACAGGCGCAGCAGGCTCTCTGGGCTACCAGCGGCAGAGCCCCAGACCACAGGTGTTGCGGACGACAAGACGCCTGCCTCCACTCAACCTCCCCCAGCTGTCCCACACCCGTTTCACACACCCCCTGCTGTTCCCCTAGCACTGCTCACACGCCACCCCCTAGTACCACTCCGACGGCTCCCACACATCCACCCCCCTCAGCGGCAGCTGCAGCAGTGGGAGACGGAGGAGGAGGAGGAGCAGGGGACGGCGCACACATCCCCAGACTCGACTGAGAAGATTTGAACAAGAATGAATGAA